CTCTAGGATCTTTCAACTTTCAGTTTATGTGAATTGGGTTACTTACTAATGAACTTCATTTAAATACCTTGCAAGTGAAATGCTGCAGCACGGCTCTCCCCACCTCCTTCCCCAATGGTGCAAACTAATTGGTATTGACAAGATTACTCTGGTGCGTTATGTGTTTTTAATAGAGCTGGCTAAGATGGTTTCCTCTCTAGCAATTGAGCTTCCTTTCCTTCCAGTGGGCTATAAGCTATCTTCTGTGATTGCCTCAATTTTTTGCTTTCAAAGAAATTGGTGTTTAAACTTGTATATAGCCAGTACAATATTCTTTTGCTCTGGTCTGACTTTTCCTATGTTTCTGATTGCACAGTGAATCATGTTTCTGAGCACTTTTGAAGAGTAGTTTCTGTATCCACATGATCTTTTCTCTGGAATAGTGTTGTCTGCTTACCCATCTCTTTATCCCTTCAGATATCCTGCTTTGTTTTAGAGGTTGGTTCACATACATCAAACATACAGGCGTTTGGTATATCAAAGAGAATTTCTGAAGTATGGAAAGTTTTGCAACTTTTTATGTGATATGAGTATGTATGTTAAGCATTTCTTCTTTGAAACACCCAGAAAGTCAGCTTGCGTCGTTTTTTTCCATATTTCTGACATAATAAAGGCCTAAGGACAGAACAAAGATCAGGAAATAAGGATTTCTCAATTGACAGAGAAAAGCTGTTTCAGATGGAGTTTAGGAGTATAGGTGGATATGTCTCTGGGCAGATCATGGATACTTTGAGTGTTCCCTGTTGAGGCTTCTTGTAAAATACCCTCAGTGATTCCCCCCTCCATCCAAGCATACTGCCCTATTGCTACCAACCAGTTGCAGGCAATGATGGTTTTTAATGCGGTCTTATGTGTGGTCCTGCTTTCCAACCACCCCCCCCATGTATTTGTTTCTCTTGATTTTTTTTGAGTTGATATTTGTCTCAGTTCAGCTTCTCTGTTAGGTCTGAAAAGCAGATGTTATTGTAGAAGTGCTGAATTGTTTAAAAAAAAAAATTGCCATGCATGGCTGTGGAACTGTGATTAAAAGAAATAACTTTGATTTTCTCTGTTTACGTTTCAAGCACGGCAGTGGTAGAATCACCGCTAGTTTTGTACATGCCTATTAACCAAATGAAAGGAAGGATTCAATGGAGTGATTAGTTTTCAATTTAGGCTTTTAAAACTATTGTCTGATGCTTTTTGCAGTCTAGTTACTGAGAGGAATACCCAGGATTTAGTTATTTTTAATTCTATTTTGATTGGGACCCTCTTTCCAGATACTGAATCCAGATAAAAGCAGGATACTCAAGGATAATTTAGAAGAAAAGATACTGTGTCCTTAGAAGGCTTTTATAATTCACAAAGCACATCATCTAATAACTGAATTTATTGTTAAAGCTCAAATAGCACCAGAATCTCAGAAAGTAGTATAAAAAGCGTGATCGTAAGAGGATTAGAAGAAAAACATGAGTGCACAAGTACACATGAGGAGCAGAAGTGATTCTTGTTTTATCTGTGGCATGAACCCAGTGTCATGGATGGGTAGGAGAAAACAGCAGAAATGATCACATTTCTAGAAGAAAATGGATAAATGTTTTTGCAAATAGCTTCTAGAGAAGTTCTAGTTTTGAACTGATTATGTCTGGGAACAGGTAAGGAATAATGTTGGTGTATGTCTATGCTGTGTGTTTTTAATCAGATTTATCTCTGGGTGGTGCCGTGGTTGTTTTTATTCTGTGGTTTTGTCTTTGTACTACACGATTATTACCCAGTTGATAACAGCAGCATGGACTGGTGAGTGCTTTTTTGACAGCTGGTTTGGCATGTTAGTTTTGGCCCTGCAGATGGCAACTGCCTGTCTCATGCAACCTGTTTGCCTGGACCTTTGTGCCATCTCTGTGGGCAAGCAGTTCTCAAGGGTTTATGGCTTCAGGCGTTGCTGCCGCACTGTGCACCGCAGCGGGATGCTCTTCCCGAGGAGATGATGATGGGCGTTGCACCCAGCGTTTGGGCACGGTGTCACGGCGGGGACATCAGGTGCGTCATCCTTGTGCAGAAAAACCCGGCGCGGGCACTGCTGGTGAGCGCTGGCTGGAAGCAGGTCGGTGCACGTGCTGCAAAGTCTTGTTTCTTTTGAAGTGGCGGGGAGCAGTACTCAGTCATTAGTCGTCAGTCAGTGGTCAACCCTCCAGCCTCTCTGAGATGAAGGATCCAAACTCACAAGCTACTGTGCGTTCCCCAGATGTGCTTTATCAACTTCAAGGGCATCAGGTGGATTATTTTTAGGTGTTGTGTAGTGCAGCTCTTACTACACCTGGTCATCTGTGTAAATCACCATAACTGTTCGGTATATGAAGGCGAGCGATAGTCTAAATCAGTAAATTATAGCCGTAACCTGCATTGTTTCAAGGTACGTGCCAAAATGGCAAAATCCAATAGGATAAATGTGGAAAGAAAAAAGCTGCTGATGAGGCGTTTGTACTCAGTACTTGATTCTGAAGAATGACATCGCGGAGTTTTCTAAATGTTTACGTGTCATTTCAAGCGCTCTTATTTAAAACTGGAGCCTACAGCCAATTAACATGAGTGAGGAATGAAGCGGAGTCAGTGAACCCTTTCTTTTCTCATTCCCTGCTCTCTTGAGTCTTTGCTGCCAGCTTCTTTCCGTGTCACTGCCCTGTTCAGATAGAAAGCGAAGGACAAGAAGCCTCTTCCACGGATCAGATAGAAAGGTTTCCCTCTCTGGCTTCAACGATAAGTACGGCACTCAGAAGATTGCACAAGTGCAAAGGGGTGTTGGAAAGAGATTGTTTGGGCAGTGTGTACTGAAGAAAGCCTTTTTTCATTGAAGAAAATGGTTTATGTTTGTGCAATCATCCTTTTATTTATGTTTGCCATGCTCCTTTCCAAATGAAATAACCCGAATCAAGTGGCACGCTGGGAGCGGGGCAGCAGAGCCCTCCTCTGCCTTTCCCTGCGCACAGCTTTTGTAATGATTTAGTCTCTTCTCAACAGAAGATCGCAAATATTGGTTGGGTCTATTGGTTGTTGTTCTATTTTTAACAATATTGGTTGTCGTTCTATTTTTAAGGAAAATTCTTGTTATAAGCAAGTGATATTTGTGTGCGGGGTCTGCCGAGCGAGGTGATGAAGCTTTCTCTTCTCTGCTGGTCTGCAACTCTGGCTGTGGAAAAAAACAAACTTTGAGTAGCTCCGCATAGGGAACCCTGCCTCTTGAGGAGTGCAGTTTTCCTCAGCCTATTTACATAACTTCTGAGGCACCAGTAGGACTAAGCAAGGGAATAAGAGCATGTTTGCAAATTCTTTCAATTCTCAACATTCCTGCATTCTTCAGCATCCTCTGCAGCGCCTCTCCCTTGCACTGCAAAGGTTACGTTTCTGCCCACCTTGGTGGTGCGGTGGGATCTTCTAAGAACAGAAAAAACTTGACTGTTGCAGCTCTTTTTTTTTGGCTGGGCCCAAAAATGGCTTTATAATAAACCATCTCCTGCTGGTTGAGCTTGAAAATTGCACGTGAGAGCTTTGTGTGGGTCATGAGCCTTGAAAACTGTAGTTATGCTTACTCACAGTAAAAGTTTTTGAACAGTTTACAGATGCTTTTCTAAATAGTTTAATCTAAAAATAGTCTGATGTATTAGTCACCCATGTTCATCTGTCCCCCTTCCTGCTCTTTGAGTGGGCGATTAGATTATTCCCTAAAGAAAAGTAGTCTGGCAAGTATTTGTATGGAGAGTAATCACTCAGAAGTATTAATGTGAATAAGAATTGTTTGTCATTACTGAAGGGTGATAACAGTGGATGGAGGTAACACATATTTGGACAACAAAATGTGTTTGCTTATAGTTAACTATTTTATTGCAAGATGCATAAAATTATTACTGATGTGTAAAGAAAATGTAGGAGAGCATGAAATTTTTTTTTGAGTTATGTTTTTGTTTGGCTTTTGAAGTTTGGAAAGAGTTCTCTTCAATATTGCACTAGGAAGGTTTCTATTTTGTACATCGTTGTCAAATGTAGCCAGGAACTAGTATTAGCTGTTTTTTTTGTGTGGGTTTTTGGTTTTTTTTTGTTTGTTTGTTTTTTTTTTTTTTTTGTTTTGGTTTTTTTTTAATTACTGAGGTCACTGCTGCAGTTCGTAGCTATCTGGGTCCATGGGCACACCTGTGTGAATAAATGGAGTTATTTAGTGCGGTGTATGTTACGAAAACAGATTATTATTTTTTTTTTTTTACTGCTTTCCAGTGGATGGAACCATTTGGGAAGTCAAGCTGTTGGACTGTTGATTTTTGTTTGAGGCTTTTCAGAGTGTTTAGAAGTCAGTAGCTGAGGTTTATTTCCAGGAGAAATTTGGCATGGGCAGAAGACACTGTAAGCTGCCTACTTTGCCTAGTTAACTTCCCAAAGCCTTTTCTGGAGAGCTAAGGCAAAATCCAGACATCAGGATTTTTATACACGGATTGTTTTGTGTATGCTCCTGTTGAATGGGTGCGACTGTAGAGGCCCGATGGTGTAAGTGTTCATTCAACAGGCTGATTTGTTCAAAGGTCTGTGTTCCAGGCTCCCCGTGGGAGCAGAGCCTGTGATGTGGGTAGTGACAGGATATATGCAAACCCCATCTCCGCCTGGGGTCTGTGCCTGCTCGCCGCTGCTCTGGGCTGCGTACAAATTCAGTGGGAATCACAGCTCCTCGAACCGAGCCGTGAAGGCCCATGCTTGATATACTGTTTTATTGTGTTAACACCACCGTTTTCAAAACAATAAATATTAATGTTTCCTATTTTGTCTCCTTATTTCCATGTCAGCATCACCCTTCTGTGGCCAGAGGCACCTGAAAGGAAAACTTCCGCATATCAATGCACTGCCAATGGTAAGTACTTTTTTAACTCACTAAAGGCGATGCGGTTCCTTCCTGCAGATATGCTGTAAGCCGACTTGTATTGCAAATGGTGTTTTTAGAATGACTACTTTTTAGGACACAAGTGGATTATTTTAATTTTTTAAGAAACATCTAGACCGTTATTCTGTTTGCCAAAAGTATTAAAATTGTATCCGGATTTTTATCCGGTGGAAAGTAGGGCAGCGTGTTAATTTTGAAGCAAGAAGTGTGACTTGACAATAACATAGCTTATCCTGTTGGTAACTGGTTTTGCTTCCTCTTTTGGCCAAAAGCCTCTTTGGGGCAAGCTGTAGCAGAGCTGAGGGTGTCTTTCCCCTCACTTGGGTGCTCTCTGCAGTTTGTTTCGGTGGGTATAAAAAACCCACACGGTGCCAGGTGTATTTTGCTTCAGCGCGTTTGGCAGCATAAGACCAGTGAAGCTAAAAGCTTAGCTCCTATAGAAAGGGCCTTGGTTGATGCAATCTTCTTATTCCACCTCTGGAGTATTACTCAATGTTACAGACTACTGGAAGTTTGTATTTGCAGACTGTCTTTATGGTTTAGTTACGCTTTCTGATAGTTGTGCAGATGGAAAAGAGAGGTGAGGTCTGAAGGGAAGGACTTGAACTTACTGCTTCAGCTTTGATCAAATAAACTTTTTTCAGTAGTTTTGGTGGCCTGTGTTGTCACAGTTGAGGTGTACAAGAATAGTAATTGCAGCATTAGCCCTAAGAAATAAATGCATACAGTGCCAGCCTGAGTTTTGTGTTTCAAGCATCTCTAGATTGTTGTGCTCTGGGCAGAAGTAAAGGGATAGTATTTCTAACCACTAGCTTTGGAAATTCACTTTGGGATCTGAGAGCTGAGCTGGGTTCCTTTGGTTTGTGTGTGGGCAAGGGTCTAAAGAATATGAAATCAATTATAGCCTTTGCAAGTCCACTGTCTTTGCCCGGTGAGCAAAGTGATGCTCCAAGAGAGTTTGCTTGGGTGTAACTGCTTTACTTTGAAATGTAGTAAGTAATTCTGTTGACTCGTGAGGACGTGATGGAGTGAAAGGTAATACAGCATGTATTTGGCACTAAGTAAAGCGAATGTAACTCCGAAATCAGATGATCTGCATCAAGCGTTTGTCGTTTAATAGCCTGATGTTTAGGCTCAGAGTTGTGAAGTTTATATTGATTTGGGATGAATTTCAGTTGGTGGGAATGGATTTGTTGAATGAGAAGGCATTGTTCTTACCTGGTCTGTTAGCCTGGTATTTTTATTCTCCAAAAGTGAAACTAGCAGCTCTCTCAGCCTTTTCTATTACTGCTGATTTTTCGTTGTTGTTGACCTTTTTCCAACAAAAAGCTACTCTTGATTTCTTTTTATTCTGTCTTAGTTGAGCATGTTTTTAGTTATGGTTTAAAATACAGGTCTGTATTACTGCTTCTCTTAAAAACATGACTCATTCCATATTAACCTAGTCCTTATACTTCATAAAATTTTAAAATAGTGAGAGACTGTGCTTGAAATGTTACTGCATTTTGTCCTAATTTTCCCCCTACAAATTATATTAGAAATTCAGAATTGCACAGTCTCAAGGGCATGCTAGTTGTTACAGTTATCATAAAACATACTGAACTGTTACTGGTAGTGAAGTGAAATACTCCCCACTCTTTTCTTTAAGGGCTGCTCTTGTGCTCTAAGTTGTTATATTTCATTATTCTAGAGATTTGTAAACAATTACTCATCTCTTAATTAACTTTGAAACAGTTGGAATTTAAATTTAAGAGACAAGCTAGACACGTTCTTCATCATCCCAAAAGTAATCATAACTTAATCTGCTTTATAGTAAAAAAGAATTTTATAGGTTTTTATTATGTTGTTTTTCTCTCTATGTTTGTAGACAAAGATGGGCCAGAGGTTGACCTGAAAAAAACAGTTTGTATTCTTCTCCCAAACAGGACTTGGTTTAACTTGGCTACCCATTTTCAATACATGTATTTGAATCAGAAATTAATTTCTGATTCCCTTGAGAAACGATACTAGCATTTTTGATCAGTTTTTTAATCATGATTGTCAGTTCCATTTCTTAGTACTAAAAAAGAAGTGAAACAAGTTACGCATCCTCTTTTTCTTTTTGTTTGCTTTTCTATTGTAAGGGTAATTAAAAGATTATTTTTTGCATCATATAGGATATTTTAACTGATAACTAAATAGGGTAAAATATCAGTTACTCCTTAAAAACATTTTGTAATTGTTGGCAATATATATTTTTTTTTTTAAATTAAATATTTACACTGTGATATAGCCTGCTAAAAGAGAGTATGGCAGTGTTCAGTTGCTCTAAGTTCCCCTTTCCATTCTTCCAGTTGACTGTAATGTTCCTCAGAGTCCCAAAGGAAAGATGCAAAGGCTTAATAAAAAAGCCCTGTTAAGTGAAGGAAAATTAGTGTATAATTCTACTTTTTCTAGGATTTCAAAGGTTCATTTACAGGCTGATAACTGGGTACTTAATCCACGGTCACAAGGATTAATGAATGTCTTGGAAATAAAAATCGAAAGTCCTGGACCTTTGGCTTAAGCAAAAGATCACGTCAGCTTTTCCGCAAAGGCTTTAGCAAATGAATTTTTTTGTTATATGGTGGAGCAGGTACCTTAACTGAGAGAGATTTTTCCGTTGTACCTTGCACGGCTTCTCTTGCAAGTTTTAGAGGCAAAACAGTTTGCCCTTCTGTCTTCTGTAAGCCACTGAAGCAGTAAAGCATTGAAATATGTGTGGCTATTCGTAGGTGTACTTGTGTGTGCATGTATCTATATACATATATATGTGTATCTACTTATATAAAAAGGAGCATGTAGAAGCTAGGAAGTCACAGAAAGCTGGGACGTATCCATTTGTGACTATCGTACGACAGCTTGCTGTGACGGATTGAATTTCGCAGGAAGTAACCAAAAAGGACTATGGAAGAATCCAGCAAGAAAGACAACGTGGTGGCCTTCTGAGAGGCATCCTGCAAAACGCCGTGCTGGGTTCTTGGCTCCATCTCTTCCTGCATGATTAGCTTGTCAAAGATCAACACACCGATCAGTTAAAAAGGTCTCCTGCAGAAGAGAGTAGAGGATGTTGTCATTTATTACAAGCTGACACAGGCAAAGTCTGAGGACAGGCAGGGAGCACAAAGTTACTTAGTCTCCAGGAAAGCAGGGTTGTCAACAGCTGAGTCACGTCCTCGTAGTCCCTTGAGGGGAATACGAAGTAGGTGTTTTAAATCCATTCTTTTCAATGCTGTCTACTTTTAGGTGAATATATCGTACTGTGTTTTGAAGGTGTGACACACCCATTATGTGTTATGTCAACTGTTCTTACATGTAAGAGACTTGTTATAGGAGATCAGCTCTGCAGGCTCTAAGTCTCTTGGGCCAGGAAGTTCCGTGGGTGCAACGTGTTTATCTATCCAGCAGATTTAGCTCAGAAGTGACAGGAGTGGTTGGAGGAGCTGAGGAGGATGAAGAAGTTACTCCAAAGAAAAAGGTGTTCAGTGAAGGGATTGGAAGATGTCTGCGAAAACTGCAAGACTGCAGCAAGACTTTTTCTTTTAACCCTTTTGTGGTGCCTTCTGTAGCATCGTTCTGTGACCTTACCACTCCTTAGAAGACAGCTGAAGGAATAAATGAATATAACTGATAGCCTGTGGTTCCACAACAACTAAACCCATCTAAATGCTGATCTATCTGCCAGGTTAATCTTCTGCCAGTCCATTATGTTAGAATGGTTTCATGCAGAGGAAGAGAAGCAAGGGAGAGGGCAGGAGCCTGTGCCCAGAGCTGGAGGAGTTGGCTTTGGTGTGGAAGCCCTGCTTCTGCTGACGCCTGCCAAGGACAGCGGGAGGTCCGTGCTGCTAGCTCCAGGGTATGCACTGGAATTGCAAAATTGACTTTGTTTCAACAGGAGCTCAATGTCATCTCACAAGTATAAGTATATACGAAAGAGTATTTGTGGGTGGGCAGACCTTTGAAAGATGGTAGAGCTGAAAGTTGGTTTTCATTAACACTGAGTACGGGCACCCCTGCTTTCAAGAGTTTGTGAAACGTGGCACTAGTTAAGATCTCGGCTGCAAGAGACATGAATAGTTGCTTCAAAATAAATAACCCTGCAAGACTAACACCCTTATTCTTCAAATACATAGACATGTGCATACATGTGTGTTCAAGTGTAGGAATAGCTCTGTTGAGATATACACAAGGAGTACTCACAGGCATAAAGCTAACCAAGCTTGAAAATGTTTTCAACGGTAGGGCCTAAAAGTGCTCATGAAATTTATCATTGAGGCTTTTTGTTGTACAGTTTTAAAAGGGGAAAAAAAAAAAAGTATTTCTAGCAGTTTCTGAAATAGTCTAAACTAAGTGACAACATGAAATTTTGGACTGTTCTGCTCCTTCTAAAATCAATGGATGCTATTATCAATGAAGGAAGGTGAAGTGCCATGTATTTTGTCTGATAATTGCTTACAGCTGAATAATTATATTTCAGAGTGTTCATCCATAAATTCTATTTATTGGATCAGCATGAATTAGCTGATCTAGTGGTATATGTGTTGAAGAGGAAGTGCTAATAATATGATACAGAAGAAAAATTGTGTGGTATGTTAGGGTGCACACTGTGATAAGTATTAAAAATTTTATGTACTACTGTATGCTGATACATTTTTGGTAGGGTTTTTTGATTTTCTATTTTTTACAGAAAGCAAGTTAAATCACACTAGTAAGATCCTTTTCTGATTCAGAGGGAAAACACCCCTTGCCTTCTTTTTCTACCATTAGTTAAAGTTCACTACTGAATGAATCAACTGAAAGGGAAACTACTGTCCTTAAGATTTTTAAGAAGTGGTGGCTCTATTTTGAAGTAGCATTTGTTGGAGAACTTTCTCTGCTGATTCTCTAAGCATTTTACAGTTCAGAAATAAGCTTTGACTAAGAATTCTCGGCAGAATCATAAATATGTGATT